TCTCCCACTCCCCCGTCTTGTGCTCTCTCTCTCACTCTCTCTCTCAAATAAATAAATCAAATCTTTTTAAAAAAATGGAATTAAGTTAGAAACCAATAAAAATATTGGCAAAGTAAATCACATACTTCCTTGTAATCCATGAGTCAAAGGACAAATCAAAAGGGAAATTGGAAATCTTTCACATTGGATGAAATTGAAAACAGTCAAAATTTACGGGATGCCAGAGAAGCTGTGCTCGGAGGTGGACTTTACAACACTAAATGCCTGACTCAGAATGAAATTTTTTAAAAAGTTGCAAAACACTCAATTCCTACCTTAAACTAAAAAAAGGAGCACAAAATAAATCCAGAAGACTGAAAGAAAGGAAATAATTCAGATCAAACTGGAAATTAAAGCAGAAAAGACAAAACTGATGAAGCCAAACTTTTTTTTTTTTTAACAAGATCAGTAAAATTGACAAACTCTGGCCAGCCAGATAAGGTGAAAGAGTGAAAAGAGCATAAATTACCAATATCAGGAATGAAAGAGGTGGCATCACTACATATTATTCTGATCTTAAAAGGGTAATAAGAGAATGGCGTAACAACTTTGTGTCAATAAATTGGACAACTTGCATGAAATGGACAAATTCCTTGAAAGAGAAAACCAGTGAAGGTGACTCAAGAAGGAGTTTAAGACCTCGTTAGCTCTGAATCTACCAAACAAGTTAAAATTGTAATTAAAAACCTTCCCACAAAGAGAACTACGTGTCCAGATGGCCCTGCAGTAGTATCCTGCCAAACATTGAGGAACAGATAACATCAAGTCTACACAAACTCCCAGAAAATTGAGAGGATTCATTTTGTTATAGTATTATCCTGATAGCGAAACCAGACAAAGATGGTACAAGAAGAAATTGATAAGGAAATGCAAAGGAGCTAGAATAAAACAATTTCAGAAATGAGCAAAATTGGGAGGACATAGCACTGTCTGATTTCAGACCCAGGGCATTTGGAGTCAGAGACATGGTGTCTGTCCCAGATTGGAGAGGGCTTTCTGGAGGAAATGATGCAAGGGTAGACTCGGGAGCACGGAGGACCAGTCAGATGCCACAGAGGTAACCGCTGTGCCTTCTGCTCTGGACCAGCCTTGGAGGATGGGACAAGGACTGAAAGGGGTACACACCTGGAGGTGGTTGATATGAGTTGCTTTCAAAATATGGTAGATAGGGACGCCTGGGTGGCTCAGTCGGCTAAGCATCTGCCTTCAGCTCAGGTCATGATCCCAGGGTCCTGGGATCGAGTCCCGCATTGGGCTCCCCGCTCAGCGGGAAGCCTGCTTCTCCCTCTGCCTCTGTCGTTCTCCCTGCTTGTGCTCTCTGTCTCTTTCTCTCTGACAAATAAATAAAATCTTTAAAAAAAAAAATATGGTAGATAATTTTTAGTTTTTCAAAATTTTACTAACACTGCTCAGTATTAAATGTTGAAGCCATATAAGAAGGTCCCCTGTTTTCACTCAGAGAGACAAGGACTTAGAGTTTCTTTCTTCTTCTTCTTTTTTTTTTCTTAATGGCATTCCCAATAGTTTTAAGTATTTAAATGAAAGTTGTGTGGATATTCAAGTGGCAGAAAGGAGAAGGCTGGGAGCATCTCCTCCAGCTCATGAGCCAAGCACGGTCAGGTTGACCTCTGGTGTCACCATCTCTCTGGGCCTTGGAGAAAGCATGTGATTGGCCTGCAGTGTCCCACCTTGGGCCCCTGGCCAGCTGTGCCCTACCTGGGGCTTTGAATCTGTTTTATTTCCCCTTGACTAGTATAGTTGGGATCTGTGGGTCAGTCTCTGCTGGGGAGGGTCCTGTCCTGGTACCAGCTGGGTTGGGGACAGTGTCCCCAGTGACTCCCTTGCTCATTTCTGCAGGCTTTCTCCTGAAGAGACGCGTGTGTACAGGAAAGTGTGAACGGGGCGCCTGGGTGGCTCAGTTGGTTAAGCATCGGTCTTCGGCTCAGGTCATGATCCCAGGGTCCTGGGATCGAGTCCCGCGTCGGGCTCCCTGCTCAGCGGGGAGTCTGCTTCTCCCTTTGCCTCTGCCCCTCCCCCTGCTTGTGCTCTCTCTCTCTCTCTCTGACAAATCAATAAAGTCTTTAAAAAAAAAAAAGCGTGAGAGCCTGGGTGGGAAGCTCCTGAGCTTTCATAAACCACTTGCCTAAATGGCGCCAAGCTGAACCCGGAAAGGCACTGCCACTTGGGCCCCTCCCCTCAGTACCTGGCCTGGAGGCTCCTGATTTCTGACAGCAGAGCTGACTGCCTGATCAGGAACTTCATGTGCATCTGACTGTGTTCGGCCTCGCACTCTCACGCTCTGCTGAGAGACTCCTGCGTGAGCTTGGGTGGTCCATTCTGCCGTGATGAACGTTGGGCAGGTTCCCGTGCGGGCTGTTGTGACCAGGGCTGCTGGGCACGCTGTGTGCAGGTCTCTGCCAGACTGAATCGCTGTCAGGGGAAGCCCTGCGTGGGGGCCGGGGTATGTGCGGCTCTAGCGAGTACTGCCTACTGTGGTCCTGAGCAGGTTAACCCATCTCCCGAAGCCCTGATGAGCCTCCATTCCCTTGCCAGCACGTGGTGGGTTTTCTTTCCCATTTTAGCCATTTTGGTCAGTGCAACTAAAATGTAATTAGCCATTATGCTCTGCATTGCGTAACATTTCCCTGATGACTAAAGAGGTTGAGCATGTTTCCATGTGTTTATTAGCCACGTAAATATCGGTTTTTTTGTAAAGTGTGTTTTCAAGTCTTTTTTCTCCATTTTTCTACTGGATTTTCTGCCTTTTTCTAGGAATTTTGTGTGAGTCCTGGGCATAGTCCTGGGCTACCTTTGTCAGATGAGATAAGTGTGCATGTGTACTGGATTGTGCATGTCCTCTAGAACAGGTATTTCCCATTCTGGACTTGCCTTTTTACTCAATGGTGTCTTGATAAACAGGGGCTCTTAATTTTATTATGGTCAATTTATTTTTCTTTGTGGTCAGAGGTTTTTTATGTCTGATTAAGATACCTGAACCTACTGTAAGACTACAGACATTTTCTTCTACATTTTTTCTAAAAGCCTAGTTGTCTTACTCTTGAGACGTTCATCCAGGTGTTCATCTAGAGCAGAGTTCTGTGGGCTGGCTGAGGCAGGGGTCAGGGTCATCTTTTTCCATGAGTACATGCAGTCAGCACAGCACCATGTTTGAAAAGTCCACTCATTGTCACAGATCAGGTGAGCCTAGGTGTGGTCCGTTATCTGTGAGCATGTCCTTGTGTGGGCCCCGCCATGCTCTTGGGGCTCGTTACCACAGCAGTGCCAGGTGGGTGGTGCTGTCCCCGTCAGAGAGCCGAGGACACTGTGTGTGAGAGGTGGCGGGCCGCTTGCCCAGGGCTGGCTGGTGAGGGGCGTGGGTGCTCTCCGTGGGCCGGGGCTCGGGGGCCGGGCACAGGGGGCACAGAAACTGTGCTTGGGCCTGGGTGTTCCTTGTTCTCACCAACGCATGGGGCTGTACTGGAGAAGATGTTTCCTGAATGTATATGCTTAGAGATGTTTGCTCTCTCACAGGGCGGTGCCTTCCTGACTGACGCTGGAGGGAGAGTCCCGATGAGCCGCTGACTTCTGTCCACCTGGGTCCTCAGGAAAAGACTGCAATGTCCCAGACACGGGATTATGAATGTGAGAGCCATGACGCTGGTGTGCAAGAGCCCCGGATTTCAGGATCAAGCACGAGGTAAGGAGAGGCGTCTGTGTGGCTGAGTTAGCAAAGGACTGGCTGCCTCCTTTTCAGAGAAGGAATGGCGGCTGTTCATCACCTGTGGGGTGGGGGTGAGTCGTTGTCCCACCTGCACCCAGCAGGACTGGTAGCTTTCAGGCATGATCTGTGCTTGCTTCTGAATTGGATGTCCTCCTGTGGAAGCCCCGTCCCCAGGTGTGGCCCTGCTTCCTGCCACAGACGCACCACAGAGGAGGGGCTTCTCCTCATGCAGGTGGCCTTGGATACCCTGCAGGCCCGTGGCTGGACCCAACTCCACATGCCTGCTCTGGGCATCAATCCACAGCAAGGCAGGTGGCCATAGTTCATCATTTTTATTTTTCATAGTTTTAGCTCTACTTGGAAATAATTCCATATTTATAGGAAACTTGCAAGAGCAGAAACGCTGCACTGAACACTTGCGTCCCCTTGCCCTGATTCACCCTCGTGGCCTCTGTGTGTACCTCCCCTCCCTTCACATAGGGCTGTCTCTCCGAGTCTCCGGGGGCTTGCCCAGGAGAGACGTCGCTGTGAGTAAATCTGGGCGGGGGCAAGTCTCCTGTCTCGTCTGCCTCACAGTCCTGCTTCGGCCGCCGCTTCCTGTCAGCCGTCCCCACGTCTCCCAGCCCTCCTGCACATGCTCACGCCACCCAGCCCACGCTCTTCCACGCTCCTCCCACAGCCGTCCTCTCTCTGCCTTTTGCAACATCGACACTCTTTAAGGCAATAGTGGCCCTTTTTATTATTTTTTTTTTATTTTTTAACGATTTTATTTATTTGACAGAGAGAGACACAGCGAGAGAGGGAACACAAGCAGGGGGAGCGGCAGAGGGAGAAGGAGGCTTCCCGCGGAGCAGGGAGCCCGATGCAGGGCTCGATCCCAGGACCCTGAGATCATGACCTGAGCCGAAGGCAGACACTCCACCCACTGAGCCACCCAGGCGCCCCAACAGTGACCCTTTTTTAAATGGAGAACTTGGTTTGGATTTGAGGGTTTCTTAGCAGAATGCTGCACAGTGTGTCTTACCCTTCTCAGAGTCTCCCCTCTGCAGGTGCACGTCCACCTACCTGCTCTTCACTGGTTTGGGCGTTCTGCTTGTTTCTGACACAGTCCGGTCTTCCCTGGGAGCACCGGCTTCCCAACTACAGCATCCCTTCCGCACCCACCAGTCGGCACACAGCACCCCGCGGGAACTAGAGCCCCCTTCTCCCTGCTCCTGCTTGCATCTGTTCCTTCTCAGTGCATACTCATAAATTCCTTTCTGCTTTACGTGGTTTGTAGTTAATTCCTGCTCCTAATTACTTTGGTGCTGGCATTGTCCCAGATGGGGCCGGTGAGGGGTTCCATCCCCTGTGTGCCCATGACTCTTGGATGCCCCTTCCTTCTGGTTCCAGGCGTATCTTGTGCTGCAGCCCCGCTTGGAGGCAGCTGTTTCTCTAAGCAGCCCTGGTCCCCACCTCCTCCGCCCCCCGGGGAAGACAGGCACTGGAGGGCCTGTCCGGGGGCTCGGCATGCTCGAGACTCTGGCGTTGTTTGACTCTTGGCCCTGTAGGCAGGCTAGAAAAGGCGAGCACGAGTGTGCATGTGACCACACGCCTGTACCCAGTACACATGCTGAGTTCACACCAGTGTCTCCAGCTCCAGCCCATTCCCAGCAGGCCTGCACTTCCTTCTCCTGTTCCACAGCCTTACCCTCTTTTGATCAGGGAGACCCTGCTCCCAAGAGCATTGGCACATTTACTCGTTTGCTCATCTGATAACATACCCAAAAACTGTTTCAGAGTTGCTTCATCCATTCCGTTACAAAAATGTATATATAATGCTAAAAAACGCTCAGGATTTCCTTGGACCCCAGCTGCCATGTGCACTCTGCTCAAGAACAGGAGTATGGAGTCTAGTCCCGCTCTCACCTGGTGTGGCTCCTTCTCCCCTTTGTTGGGGTCATGCTGGTCATTGAAATACAGTAGGGTCATCTGTTCCATTCATTCTCCCTTTCCTTACTCACTTCATTTGTTTTTAAACATGTCGACCATTAACATGCTTCCAAAAGGCACAGTTGCATCAGGTACATTCGACCTCTGTGCCCCCACACGCCTCTTGCAGGTAGTTTTTCTGGCCTCCCTCCTGTGTTTGTTTGTGAGGGTCCCCTCAGAGACCACCCCCTTGACAGCATGGATGCCATGGTATTCGGCCAGTCTCGTGTTGCACGTGTTGGTAGTTTCCAGTATTGTACAGTTACGAGGGACGCTACAGCAGAAAGCCTGTGCTCTGTGATTTTGTGTTGTTGGAGGTGTGTCTTCAGGTAAATTCAGGCGAGGGGCCACAGGGTCGTAGGTATTGGCTGCCACATGCCCTCCACGGACAGCGCTTGGGGTGGCGGACACGGCTCTCAGTACAGCTTGGGTTTTATGTCTGATGCCAGGATTCATGGGACATCTCTTTTTCCCATTTTTTTATAGTGCTTTTGTTTTGTTTTTTGCTCAAATTTGTATATGAAGCATATGAGCCTCTTATCTGTAATTTATATTGCAAATATTTAATATTTTCACTAAATGTGTCCCAAAAAACAAACTATTTTTTACTTTACACTTTATTGATCTTTTCTTTTAGTGCATCTGGAGTTTTAGTCGCCATCAGAAGATCTTCCCGTTCATTGTGGTTGTGGGGAAAGACAAAGTTTCCTCGCTGTGCTGGTTCGGTTTGGCTCTTGTGCGTAGAGGAGCTCCTTCTTACGTACAGTGTGGATGTGCCTTTTTCGCTCTCCAGATGCCATCCAGTTGTCTAGCACCTTTACCCTACTCTGCAGTGTGTGTCCTGGTTTCATAAGGCGCTGGGTCTGCTTCTGCCCTTCAGGTGGCCCCGTTGACCTCTGCACACGTCCTGCATGTCCTGGCCTGGCCACATTCTGACTTAACTGAGGCTGCGTGGGTCTGCTGCTTTCTGGCCCGCTCTCCTCACAGCTGACTTCCTGCGGTTTGCGTACCTCCCGGGGCACAGTCAGCACCTGGCAGAACACATGGCAGCCAGCTCAGCCTCCCACAGCGCCCATGCCACCGGGACCCAGGTTGTCTTCTTACACACAGGGCCCTGGAGGCCCATGGCAGCTGTTGGGCTGATCTCTGGCAGGGTAGATGCCAGGCCCTCTCTGCCCCAGCACCGTGTGCTCCCGCCCCGTGAGCCCGGCCCCGTGGGCCCCC